GCGTCTAGATTGGCCACGGACGCTTTTCTGCAAAAAGTGCTTTTGTGGAAAAGCATCCGTGCCAATCTAGACGCTCTGTTCCGAAAATGCTTTTAACGGAAAACTTTTCCGTTAAAAGCATTTGCGGAAAATCACGCCAGTCCAGACGTAGCTGGGTTGTATTAGAAACAGACAGCAGAACAGAAAAGTATGAAAAAGAAGAGATGGGGAAATACCTTTTTTGGTACTATGCTTCTAATTCACTGAAAACACAGTTATGTCCGCAGATGCTTAATGTCCCTATTGCAAAAAGATGGTTCTTAATTCTGATTACAGAGAAACTGGAAGCCTGCTGGCACATAGATTCATATATGGGACCATCCTGATGAGGCAAGACTGTCTTCCATCAGTCATGATTCAATGCCAAGTCAACCTGGTACTGATCAACATTTAGCATTTTACTATGTGATCAGCAATCTGGCCTCAGCCCAGCCAAGCACGAAGCATATTCAATACTTAAATCCTATTGAATTCAAGGCCTCTTCCAGGTAGTCTGATGGACTTTAATGGATTTATTCCTGCACTTGAAGTTAAGCACATGTTTAAGTGGTTTTCTGGAGTGCTTAGGATGGGGTAAGACTGAACTCTCACTGCACAGCAGTTGGGTCATATTGTACCTATTTGATGGAAAAATAAAGGACTTCTTCATTCTCTAAGGATGCAAATATGGTACCTGCTCAGTGCTAAAAATCACATGCAAATTTGCATATTCTACCAGAGATTCGGGCAAATAAAGATCTTTAGAAATGTAAGTTACATATTATATGGAAAACAGCTTAAGCAATCCTACAAAAAGTGTGGTATACCAGACGCATTTAACCCAGACACCAAGCAGCTGACATCACACGGGGCATTTTGTACATTACTGCATCATTCCACAGTGTGAGATTTCTAAAATCCAAACATGTTCAATGAGAGTAAGAGATTGTACTTACACTACAGAATGAGTGTATGGGGGTTTCTGCCCATAATAGCTGTATGGGGCTGTTAGCCCACATAGCTGGCATTCAAAGACTCCTTTTGGCTGGGCTTCTTTGTGGGAATCCATCTGTAAAGCTACATGCACAAAAAAAAATCCCTTTAGATTGCAAATGCAGTTGTAGGAGCATTTATTAAAGGTAATTAAACTGAGCTACTCCTGTAGCCCTGTCTAGCCTTGCCAATATCAGAGGAAGAATTTTGGATAGCAGTGCAAAGGGCCTGAAGAGTAAACATCAAAGGGGAATTCTCTTTTTACCTTGTGATTCTCGCATGTTGTCTCCATTAATCAGTTCATATTTTCAGCCAACCCCATTCTACTCCCTGAAAAACACAAGCTTGCTGTGCCCCCATACAGTGGGGCATGCAAGGCCTTGCCTTCTTGCATTCGTTTGAGAGGCGCATTACATTCTTCTCACTTTTGCACTTTAGTTCCCAGGCTGCAAAGTGACAATCCTCCATGTGCCAATCGCTGGGGCTGCCTTCTAGCCTGGAAAACCACAGCACATCCTCAGCCAGAGCAAAGGGGTAGCAGTATTTTTCACTGCACTGTAGGACTGAGGAACTTGAGTGCAGACAAAAGCATGTCTTTACTTAAAAATTGTGATGCTTTAACTCTTCCAGTATAATATAGTAACATGGGTACAATTATATTGGCAAAAAGAAACACAGGACAGTATAGATTATTCCTGTACAGGAGGAAAAACAAAAAGCTATAAAGAACTTTTATACTGGTGTAACTGTGTCCAAGCTAGGGGTTCTACTAGTATTATTATCTATCTATATAAAAAAAGCTTTTCCTGCCAGAGGACAGAATGACATCATCAGCATCAACAGGCTCTCCCAGTGATGCTAAAGCAGCCAGAGAGACGGGTGTTGGTGAGTGAAGCAAGCCTGGGGCACAGCCCCCTATCATCCTTAAAAAACAAAATCACACTCATAACTGAAACAGTCTCGGAGGGGCAGCCATGTTATTCTGTAACTGAAAGAAAAAAAAAAGAATGGTCCTCTGGTAGCGTAGAGACTAACAAAAAACATAGATGGCATCATGAGCTTTTGTGGGCACAACCCACTTCAGATGAATGCAGTAAGGGATCCAGGGTACAAATAAATAGCAGAGAAAGAGAGGGGATGGGGAGGGAAACAGAAGGGAAAATACTGTCAATTAGAGCCTCTGTGCTAAATGAAAGCTGTAAGTACCTAACTGAAATAATTATAGCACTGCCAATATAAAATCTAGGACCAGATCATACCTAAGTGTACAGTACTTTGCTGTCATTTTGTAATAGATGTGTAAAGTCTCCCCTGCCAGCTTCTTAATACTGTCTGTCCCAGTTCTTTTCATGGAGACAATACAGTTAGTAAAATAATGGATTACAGGACATACTTCCTGTCCATGGGCAGGAGAGCAAGAACTAAATAAATCAATGAAAATAACCAGGCCCAAGTGTTGGAACAAGAGGGAGACTTCTTGAGATCTTTGGTTAGAAAATCCTGACTTCTCTGTAAGCCCTTCTCTTATTAGCCAATACTGGCTTTTCATCACTTACAACAGCCTTCCCGGCTGACCGAGGTGTTTACACCCTTCTAGAATAACGTTACCCACATCGGTGTCGTACTAACGCCAGGGCAAGTGAGCATGAATGCCTGTTGTCTAATTGCCCATTGGGAGGCCTGGATTTTAACTCACAAGGCAATGCCAGCTGCCTGTGCATAAGTTGCGCCTAACATACAATACATCGCAGTGTGTCGGAATCTATTTAGCAGTAGGAACCCAACGTGCTGCTGCACATTCAGGCTGGAGCTGTGGCACAAGTTCAAAGAGAAGGGATCATGTACGGATGGGGCTTAAAAAAAAAGAGAGAGAGGAAAAAAAGAAACTTACCTTCGTCACTAAGAATAGCCCCGTGGGACTGCGACATTGAAAAGTGCCTGCAAAGGGCGCAGCCCCTCTAACACCGAGGCAGCCCCCTGGCGCGTTGCAGGCTGCAGCCTGAGCTTCACGCTTCCTGGTTCACTAGCGCTGCCCCGTGCTGACATCATCGGCTCCTGCCCGCTCCTCCTCCCGCTCTTTAAAGGAGCAGCGCTCAGGCGGATCCAGGCGCTGGTGCACCCTACACTGCACAGGCGGAAACCTGCCTGAGGCCAGGACCCACATCATCTGCACGGGTCTGCGCTTCCCAGCCAAAGACGTAAGGACCCGTGCTCGGCGTGTGGGGTCTGGGAGCGCAGGACGCTTACGCGAGGGAGCTCCCCTAGGGCAGAGGGAGCAGGTGTCTCACGCGGCTCTGCAGGCACCGCCTTCTCCCTGCCTCCTTCTCAGCCCCCCCCCCACCCACACCCACACACCCCCCCCACCGC